GCGCGGGGGTCCCGTGCGCCTGCCCCGCCCCCAGCTCCGAGCGCCCAACTTCGCGCGGCGCGGAGGACGCGGACAGACAGACCGCCGGCGTCCCGACCCGCACGCTCCCGGCACAAGTTGGCTGAGGGTTGGAGGGGGCCTGGTGGAGGCCGGGCTGGCTCGGGCTCGGGCGCAGCGGGGAGGGGACGAAGCGCGACCCGCGAGTGCGCCAGACAGAGCGCGAGTGCGAGACAGACAGACAAGCCGGCAGGGTGTCAGCCTTGCCGTCTCTCCGCGCCAGCCTCCCTCGCCTTCCTCAGTGTCTGTCTGTCCTTCCACCCCTCCACCCGCCTTCCCATTTCTCTTGCCTGCCCCTGTCACAATGCCGGGTGGGCTCTGTGTTCGGAGCTCACACGACCCGGGCACACGCACACGCGGACGCACACGGACGCGATTGAACTTGGCTACAGCCTCCCACCGCGTTTCCCGCGGAGACGCCATCCCCCCTGCACGGCCTCGCAGACACACCCCCTCCGTGCCGCGGGCGGTGTGGGGGTGCTCTCCGGACCCCGGTCTCTCCTCCCTGCCCCCACCCCGCTCTTGGGCGAGGACCCAGAGGCTAAAGGGGCCCGGGCTTGAGCTGCCATCCTCCCTGCTTGGAAGCGCCGGCTCGTGTACGTGTGCTCATGTGTGCTGCCGGGGAGTGTGCGGGTCGGCGTGCACCTGTGAGCGCGTCTGCCCGCGGAACCCCGGGCTTGGCGTTTAGGGCCGGGGTCAGGGTGCACGGTACGCCGCCGTGCGGGTGGGGAGTGCACGCGCCTGCTTCACGGGCAGGCATCTGTTTGTGCCCCGTGTGTGTTCCACAGTGGGGGCCTAGGCCTTGACCCCATCCTCTCTGTCAGCCTCTCGGGCCCCTGGCTTCTGTTTCCTGCACCCCAACTGTGACCTGCGCAGTCCGAGGACAAGCCGGTAGCCCCCTAAACCCTCCTTCCCGGCCCCCAACGCCCGGCCCCTACAGAGCCCGGAGGGCATCTAGATCCACCCCCAACACTTAGACCCCTGCCTGCCTACCCCAGTTGCCCTCAGCAACTCCAGCAGGGCAGGAGCTGCCCCAGCGAAGCTAGCCATAGAGCTCCTGATTTTGCCAGACCTGCCTGGTGACCTTGAGGGGCTGGAAGGTGGGCAGAGGAGCCCCCTCCCTGAAAGCTGCTTCCCCTGGGGAGAGCTTTTGGACTTGCCGCCTGGCTGTACCCTTAGAAGACTCGGGAGAGGTCTGGCCCAGCACCACCGTGTGTGAAGGCCTGAGGTCAGAAGGAGGCAGGGATGGCACTACCCAGCCTCTCGGGTCGGCCTCCCCCTCTCCCCTCTCTTCTCCTCTCTCCCCTCTCCCGTCAAATAAATTCCCCTGTGGACAGATCTGGTTTAATTTCCTTTGCCCCCTGAAGGGGAATGAAACATCTGGTGGAGACTTGAGGGAGGATGTGTGAGGATATGAGCGATGGGTCTCTCCGAGTGTGTGAGGCCGCAGCTGTGGGCCTCCGCGCTGGAGTCAGTGGGGGAGATCACATCTGCCATTTAGCCCGGCGTGTGTGCATTTGGGGATCCGTGTTTGTCTGTGGTGTGTGTGTGTACACACTCTGAGTGTGCAGATACCTATCACTAGGCATGAGGTAGAGAAGCATCTGTGCGTTCAAACACCCGTGTGTGCTGCTGTGTCCTCTTGTGAGTAGGGAGTGTGACACACGCAGGCCCTAGGTGTGTGTGCTCACGGGGGGGGGGGTGCAGGCAGTGTCGGTGTGTGAGTCTGGGATTTGTGAAGGTGCATCTGTGTACCTGAATGTGAGGATGGGGTTGTGAGCCTCAGCTTGTATTCATACATCTGAGTGTGGTGTGTGTGTCAGTGTGAGTGTGTGTGTGTGTGTACGCCTTCAGGGTTGTCTCCATGCCAGTGCTGGGAGTGGGCAAAAGGTGACGGAGATCCTTGGAGAGAGGCTTGCCCGCAGAGTTCACAGGGCAGCTCTTGAGAAACTCCCAGGGCCACCAGCCTGCCTTCTCCGTCCGCCTTCCTGCGGAAGTGCTCTGCCACCCTCCTCCCGGCCCCAGGCTTCTGGCCGCCTCTCAGGGCCTGGAACTTGAGGTTTCCTCTGCCCCTGGGGCCCTGGCCTCTCGGCCTGGGCTGCTTCAGGATCCTTCTGGTGCACTCTCCGCGCCTCCCCTTCTCCACCTCTGTCTCCCCCACTCCTTGCCAAAGCAGCTGCCTACTGGGAGAAGCAGCAGGTGATCAATAGTCACTAATCACTAATCACTAATTACTAATTAGCTGGGGGAGGGCGAGGGCGGAGGCCTGTGGGACCTTTCAGCTCTATCCCGCCGCAGGGAAGGATTAGGCCCGGGGCGAGAGTCTCAGAGCTGGCTAGCTACAGCCCTGGGTCCAGCCACAGCCTCCTACCTCCTTACCCTCCGATAGCCCCCCAGCTAATCTCCGGCTTGGCCACTTCGGCACGCACAGTCTGGGCTAGGGCCCAGAGCTGCTGGAGGGGATTTGGGGGTAATCAGGGCCGCAGCTGGGCCAGGGACTCAGGGAGGGGTACTGTGACAGTTCCCTTGGGCCAGGGCCTGCGGCAGAAGCCCGCGTCCAGACGGGAGGGGCGCTTTGGGAAAGGAGAATTTCGAGTCGGGGGTTGGGGGTGGCTGAGGAGCTAGAGACCCAGGCGGGGAGGCGGGGGGCTGGAGAAGGGTTGAGGTAATAGCACAGAAACAAGGTAAGAGGGGCCACGGGGTCACGGACCGGGTTCCTGGGGAGGAGTGAGGTAACCTCCAGAGCCAGCAGGTAAGTGGAGGGGTCCTCACTGGGGTGAGAGAGGACACAATCGTCAAGAAGATAGGGAACTTTGGACAGAGCCCGTCACTCAAAATGGGTCTGCGCCAGGGGCTCGGGTGACAGAGGGGGGCTCGAGAGGGTGGGGGCCGCGGGCTCGGAGCGAGGGGATCGCAGGGCGTGCTGTGGGGCGAGCTCGGGGTGGGGCCAGGAGCAGAGTGCGGCCTTGAGCGCTGGAAATGGGCGAGCCTTCCCCTCTCCCCCGCGCGCCCCTCCTCCACCTCCACCCCGCCCACTCCCCCTCCGGCTCCGGCTTCGGGAAATTACATCCCGGCTCGCGCCCCCCCACGCGCCCCGGAGCCCGCGCCTTTATAGGCACATTTATTGCAATAATAAAGTGAGGCGCGGGGCGGGGGGCGGGGGGCGGCCGTTCCCGGGGGGACCGCGCCGGCTCGAGGAAGCAGGGAAATAAAATAAAATAAAATAAAATCAAAATTCAGATAACGGCGAGGCTTGCGCGGCAGGCCGCCAGCAGGCGGGCAGGCGGGGCTGGTGGGGAGGGGGCGACCCGCCCAAGGGCAGAGCCCACCCCCCCGCAGGCACGCCCCCCCGTCCCAGGGGGTCTGGAAGGAGGTGTCTGCCTGCACCTGCCTGGTCCCTCCCGAGGCCTGGCCCGGCCTGCTCTTCTGCCTTCCCGCTGGCCTGCCTTTCAGAACTGGCCTCAGCGTATTTCCAGGCCCCTCATCGCCTCCCCTGCCCTGGTTCCCATTCCAGCTCCCACCGGCCTCCCGCGGGGGTCTCCTGGCCTCTGCATCCACCCGCAGCCGTTTCTCCTCAGTAACCACCCTTCGTCCTCCATTGCTGTCCTGCCCAGCCTGTGTCCCCCTCACCGGGCTGGTGCTTGGCCCTCCTCATTTCTGCCTGTCCCCCAGGCCCGTGCCCCAGCCACCCTCCTGGCCCCACTTTGGTTCCCATCTTTTCTGCACCCCCTCTTCATTCCTCTGGTCCCTGTCTGCTCCGCACCAGGTCCCTGCCCAACGTCTGTCCACCATTTCTGCTCTCTTCAGCCCGTCCTCGTGTCCATCCTTGTGGCGTCCTCCGCTCTGCCCCCTATGCCTGCCAGGTCTCCCACGCTAGCCCTCCTCATCTCTGTCCCGGCCTCCACCCACCTCGGTCCTCACCCACATCCCTGCCCCTGATTCCCAGCCAGACTGCACCCCGCCCTGACTGCAGTGTCCTCGCGTCTTCCTGGGTTGAGGGGCTCAGAACGGTTTTTCTCCCTCCCCCGCCCGGGCCTGGACTGGCCCTTCCCCACCGAGGGTGCTGTCACATCCCCTGGCCGAATCTTGAGTGCTGTGCTTGGCCTACACTGCAGGAGGGAACCACAGAGCGTCCAGAGGCCCAAGGGAGGTGCACCCTGCAATGCGGCTAGGGGCCGGTCCTCCTCTGATTCCCAGCGGTCCTGTCCCATCCCAAGAGTCGCATGCCTCCCCCTCCCGCAGTGGAGTTTACTCAGCAGCCAGAGACGGCCTCGACTCCCCTCAGGTGCGTGGGCCGCTGCCTTGGGGGCAAAGCGCTCCTGGCGCAGCTCCCGCCTGCAAGGGCCTGGAGGAGCCTGGGAAGGAGGGAAGGCAGGCAGGCCCCCCCAGCCACCGCACACCTCCACCCTCGCTGACAGCCGTCCTAGCCTCTCCCCTCTGCAAATGTCACCGCGCCCAATTAGCTTAATTAAACCAGCTCTGGAGCAAGGGGGACCCCACCTTGGACAACACCCCCAACCCTGAGCGGGGAGAGAAGGGCTCTGGGCAGGGAGCCCCTTTACCACCACCACCCCCACCGCTGGAGACAGACAACCTGAAGGACAGAAGGAGGGAGCCGCGCCAGAGAGCCAGAGGAGAAGAAGCAGAACCCTGGAAATCAGAGACAGACAGAGCGAGGGAAGAAATGGAAAGGGAGAGACTGAGAAGGCTGGAGGGAGAGAGATGGAGAGCCGTGGAAGAGCAGAGCGAGCGCGAGCGATCAAGGAAGCCAGAGGGAGGATCTGATGTTATGCTGTCCCATGTTCCCATTTCTCGGCTCGTTTCCTTGCAGGCTCTCTCACCCCTCCCAGCCGAGCTCCCCCCAAGGTCGCTGGGCCGCTCCCCCCAGCTCTTCCCTGCCATCTCGCCGTGTCCATGAGGAGTGGGGGGTGCGAGTTTCCAAAGCCTGGGGATTTGCCAGGATCTGGGCAGCAGAGACAGAGTTCGTCTGAGATCAGAGGTGGGGGGCCATCCTGGCACCTCTCTGTGGCCTGCCAAATCTCATTTCCTACTAGTGCCTGCCTGGACTGAACCAGCCCTGCCCCGTCCTAGGCTGGGTGCAGGACACAGGGGTGCTGGGATTTCCCGGGCGGAGGCGCCTTGGAGGCAGCTGGGGTCATAGCCGCAGGTAGCTTGAAGAGGGGATTGGAGGGCTGGGTTCTCCTGCCAAGAGTGGAAAGGTGAGATTAGGGCTCAGAGCCTGGCTCTGAGGTTGAGATCGGCTCTCCTGGAAGCCTCACCCGCTCCTCCTCCCTGGCCCTCTCCTGGACTCGAGCCCCTCTTCCCTGGGAAGCCTCTTCTCCCCGCGTATCCCGAGACCCCTTCCCCCGCCCCCCTCCAGCCCACCCTTCCAGGTGCGGGGTGCCAGCTCCAGTTTGTCTGTCTCAGTCAGTCACTCTTGCTGCCCCCGCCCCCTCACCTGGACTGGGAGGAGGGCTGGATGAGAGGAGGAAGGAGGGGGCGATAAATATGTATGACTAGCGGGTGGCGGGCGGCATTAATAACCTGGGATCGCAGTGCTGCAGGGACAGGGATCAGGCAGGGGAGATTCAAGCCCAGCAGCTTGGCTGTGCTGCTACTGTCCCCTGTGGACGCATCGTGTGTACACAGGGGTGTGTGCAAACAGAGGAGGCACCCATGCTGCCAGCCCGCCTTACCTACCCCAAACAGCCTGCGGGCCAGGGTGCTCCTTCGGGCCACTTGCACACAATTCAGATACACACACACACACACACACACACACACACACCCAGTCATGGGAACGCAGACCACACTTGCTCTTCGCTGCATACTCCCCCTTTGAAAGAGCTTGACTTGACACAAGGACAGAGGAGGATAGAAACACAAACAGGAAAAGTAAAAGCATGAGGCGATCACACACAGCCACCCTCAGACCACCATAGACAGGCCAGCAGCCGGATGGACACACAGCCACGCCGCACTGAGGCAGCACCGACAGACAGACAGACACACACACACAGTCGGTCCGCACATACACAGCCACACAGGTTTACACAGCGGACGGACAGCCGCCACAGCAGGCAGACACATGCACAGCCTCCGCCAGCACACACACAGCACCACAACCACGCACACACCCACCGCAGACTGACGGGTGTACATGACATGATAACAGGCACACGGGCCCCTCCGGGCAGACACACACACACACAGCCATTCAGGCTAACAGAAGCACAGCCACCCCAGCCCGACACACACAGAGCTTCCCCAGCCCGACCGGCATGCAGTCAGGGCCACACAGAGCAGCACGGTGGCAGCTAGCACAGGCTGACTGACACACTCTGACACGCTCCGCTCCTCTCCCTCCCACTCCAGCGCTAGAGCAGCATCTCCATATTTCTTCCTCTGCTCGCTCCCGTCTCCTTCAGTCCTGGCCGCCCCCCCCATACACACCCCAGATAATTGATGGCCCGGGCCTGGCCCGGCCGCTCCCGCTCTCTATTCATCTTGTACTCACACGGCGCTGTCTCCCAGATCAGCCACCACCTGAGACAAGGAGAAGGTGGTGGAACCGGCAGGGCGGCTCCCCCAGCCCCCTTCAAGCCTGGGGAAAAGCCAACAGGCAACAGGCAGCCTTCGCCGTAGCAGGAGCACTGGGGGACGGGAGGGGTGCCCATTTATTCCCCAAGCCTCACCCTACAGGAGCAACGACTCAGCTCAACCAGTTCTCAGCAGCCCCTCCTTGCAGAGCGCTCAGAGCCGAGGTGGGAATGGGCCGCTTGTCTTGGCAGAAGTGGGAAGGTCTTCAGCCTCTTTTTCCTTCCTTTTTCTTTCTTCTTTCTTCTTGAGGCAGGGTTTCGCTATGTAGTTCAGGCTTCCTTGAACTCACTATTGTAGTCCAGGCTGGACTCAAACTTGCAGCCACCCTCCTGCCTCAGCCTCCCAAATGCTGGGATTACAGGTGTGTGCCACCAGCCCCGGCTCCTTCCTTCCTTCCTTCTTTTTTTTTTTTTGAGATAGGCTCTCCCTATATCACCCAGGTTGGGGTTAGCCTGTGATTCTTTTGCCTCAGGCTCCCTTGGCGCTGTGATTATAGGCACGTACCACTGAGCCAGCTTCGGCTCCATTTTTGTTTTTGTTTGTTTGGTTGGTTCGTTGGTTGGCTGGTTTTGAGACAGGGCCTTCTAGGTAGTTTAGGCTGATCTTGAACTCACTAGGTAGTCCAGGCTGGCCTGGACCATAGCAATCCTCCTGCCTCAGCCTCCTAAGTACTGGGATTACAGGCTTATGCCAGTATGCTCAGATTTTGGCCTCTTTCTTCATGCTGGATGTTGTTTCCTGTTGGGTCCAGCTCTTCCCTGCCCCATTAGAGCATCTCCAGGGCCAGGCTAGCGGGCGGGAGTAGAAATTCACTGCCCACTCACCCCGGCTGGCTTTGGTTTTTGAGGCCATATTAGACCTCTGTGAGAACACAAGGATTCTCAGGTCACTACAGATGGGGAAACTGAGGTCCAGATAGATGAAGCGACTTGGCCAAGACCACACACTGGCAAAGGGCTGCAGGTCTACTCCAAGGGACACTCCTGATCAGCCCGCAGTGGTCTGCACCGTTCCATTTAGTCTCCTAGTGACGATATAAAGGGGCTGTTTGGTTAATAGACAAGACGGCCAGGGCCCACTCCAGCGTCTCCCTTTTCTTTTCTTTCTTCCTACACAGGTCGTCAGTGCCCAGATACCGGATTCCCGAAGGCCGCAGTACCTGGAACTGCACCCAGCCCCGGCCAGAGGGCGCACCCCTAGCCAGCAGCTCCCGGCTCCGAGGTCTCCGGAAAGCCTGGGCACCGCGCGCGCCTGGAGCTGGGCTTGGCCCGCTAACCACACGGGGGCGCTGTCCCGGGCTGGGGCGGCAGGGGCGCTGCCCGCGCAGCGCAGCAAGAGGAAGCCGTCCATCAAGGCGGCCCGCGCCAAAAAGATCTTCGGCTGGGGGGACTTCTACTTTCGGGTGCACACCCTCAAGTTCTCGCTGCTGGTGACTGGCAAGATCGTGGACCACGTGAACGGTACCTTCAGTGTGTATTTCCGCCACAACTCGTCCAGCCTGGGCAACCTCAGCGTCAGTATCGTACCGCCCTCCAAGCTCGTGGAGTTCGGGGGCGTTTGGCTGCCCGGGCCTGCCCCCCACCCTCTGCAGTCCACGCTGGCCCTGGAGGGGGTGCTTCCCGGGCTGGGGCCCCCCCTGGGGATGGCGGCTGCCGCGGCGGGCCCGGGGCTTGGAGGCTCGCTCGGGGGTGCCCTGGCAGGCCCCCTCGGGGGCATGCTGGGGGTGCCGGGGGCCAAAGAGTCGCGGGCTTTCAACTGCCACGTGGAGTACGAGAAGACCAACCGCGCGCGCAAGCACCGCCCGTGCCTGTACGACCCCTCGCAGGTGTGCTTCACCGAGCACACGCAGAGCCAGGCCGCCTGGCTCTGCGCCAAGCCCTTCAAGGTCATCTGCATCTTCGTGTCCTTCCTCAGCTTCGACTACAAACTGGTGCAGAAAGTGTGCCCAGACTATAACTTCCAGAGCGAGCACCCCTACTTTGGATAGCGCCCCTCGCGTCCGGCCGCGCGGGTGGCAGCGGCCGCGCCTGGCGCTCGGGGCGGGGCGGAGGGGAGCCGCCCGCACAGTTCCGCTTCCCCTCCCCCGGGCGCCCGCGGGCTGGGGTGGCAGCCCCAGGGGCGGCCCAGGGTCCTCTGAGCCCTTCTGCCCCTGGCGCCGGGCTGGGCACGCCCTCCGCCCGCAGCTTGAATAACGCCTGGCCCGGCCCCTCATCCCGCCCCGACTTCTGGCCCCCAGCGCCCGTCCGCCTCCTCCACCCCGTCCCCGCTTCCAGACCGCGAAGGCCTGTGCGCCCCGCGCTGTCGCCCCCTCCGCCTGCCGTCTGCCTGGCCCCCGGCCCGCCCTGCCCTTCCGCGCTGCCCCTGCGCCCCAGCCTCGGCCCTGCCGTCCAGCTCCACCTGCCCTCCCGGCTGCTTCCTCTCCGTGATATTTTTTTCTACGCCAAAACAGACGGGAAAGGGAACAAAATAAAGTGAAATCCAATACGCGCCCGTGTGAGACCTTTGTAGGGAAGAGAGGGGCAGGTGTGGGCTTCTGCCGGGCAGAGCCGGGGCCAGGACCTCCTCCTTGGCGGCCGGCAGGGAAACCGAGGCAAAGACTGTCACAGCCAGCACCTCGGAGGTCCTCCGAGGCCGGCCACACAGGGCTGAACGTGCCCCCTGGAGTGGGACCCTGCCTGCCCGGTGGGGCTTCGCCTCCCGCGAGGACGGAGGGACGCTGGCGGAGGGCGCAGGGGTTAGGCCTGCGCGGGGTGACCCGCCGACCCTGGGGACGGTGTAAAAGGCCGTGAACGGGAGGCGGGAGCGGGGACGGCGCAGGCAGAGCGCTGACAACCTGCTAGGCGTTGCGGGGCTGGAGGGCGGCGGCAGGTTGGGAGGGAGGGGGTCGGCGTTTGCGGCATCTGGAGTCATCGATCTTGCTTTTCCTTCCTAATTTCGTGGGCGCTGAGTTTGCAGACGGCCGAGGGAGGGAGGGAGCCCTGGGATGGGGGAAGGGAGGAGCGCGGGTTTGGAGGGCGGGGCCGCGTGGCTGCCGCCAGCCGCGGGCAAACACAGCCCCCTTCAGCCAGCTGCCCACCTTCTCCACCCCCGCCTTCAGCTCCCTCCTGCAGCCTTGGCTGCTAATTTTATCCGCCCCCCAACCCTGGCCCGGGCGTTAATTGGCTGCGGCTTCATTAGCAGTTCTCAGCTCTGCAGCCCCCTCCCCTTGGGACCCCCTGACTGGGGTTAAGGAGGGGGTGCAGACAAGCTGAGGCACAGAGGAGCTCCTCCTCTTTAGCCGGCCTGCTTCTGGAGCCCTGGGTCAAGGTGCCTGGGGGGAGGGTGGCGTGCTGTCACCGGACTGCCTAACGCGGCAGCCCCAGACCAGGCAGAAGTGGGTCTAACCCAGACGCCCGAGAGTGAAAAGTCGGTGAGCAGAAATAATCATCTGCTGCATGGATGGACTGGGTGTGTAGATAAATAACAGGGTCAAGTGAAAGATGGGTTGGTTCTGGGTCAGACCCGAGGAGAAAGAATGCAGAGGTCTCCTCACACACAGGGCCTGCGCCTGGAAACGCGTGAGCAAAGCTGAGGCCAGGCAGGGAAAGGAAGTCAGAGCGAGGAGGCTTCTGAGACCGGGTGGGAATACCTGGACTTGGCAAACTAGCCCATCTGGCTTAGGCCTCAGTTTTCCTTGGAAAGCCATGATAAATTAGCATGATGCAAAAAAAAAAAAAAATTAGCATGATGCCTGAGGAGCTGGGTTTGATCCCCAGCCAAACACATACACGTATGCATGTGCACACACACACATACACACACACACACACACACACACATATGCAGTGGGACATGCTCTTCCAGGGCTTGTCCCCCTCTTCCCGCAAAATTGCAAACCTGTCTTCCCCACCCCTTCCAGGTTTTAGACCTGAGAGCAGAAACATCCCTGGCTACTGTTGTATCTGTCAAACTTTGTCACCTGTTCACCTTTGATGTTCAGCGCCCAGGGAACTCTCTTTGCATGACCGGGGCTATGGCATATTTGGCGTGGAGTAGCCGATCAGTATGTCTTCTTTTTCTTTTTTTTTTTTTGTTTTTTCTCCGGTACCGGGAACCGAACTCATGACCTTGCACTTGCCAAGCATTCTTTTTCTTTTTCTTTTTCTTTTAATTTTTACTTCTTGGGAATCAAACTCAGGACCTGGCGATTGCCAGGAGGGCGCTGTGCGGCTGAGCTCTATCCCCGGCCCAGTATGTCTTCTGAAGGAAGGTGAAACACTGCTGTGTAAAGCACCAGTTCTCAAAGCCACTGTTTATCAGAATCACGGAGGAGAAGCTTGATTGTGTGTCTTTGAGATCCACTGAATTAGAACCTCGGAGAGGAGGAATTCTCCTGGAAGGGTCAATGAGTCTGTCCCTCCCCCCAAGGGCTTTATCCAAGACCAGTAAGGCTAAATGGAAAATCGCTTAGAGTTCTAGGGATCCATAGCCTGGGATATAGAGAACTCACTGGCGGCTGGTGATGTCGGGTGAACCAGTAACAAGGCAACGTGTGGATCGGCGAGAGGGGGCACCCCACTCTGCTTGCAGCTAAGGAGGAAGAGGTGGCCATGGAGGAGGCAGGCCTGTGAGTTAGGAGAGGACAACCTGTGGAGGAGTGTGTTCACACACAAAGTCTCATTTAAACCTCCCTGCATGCTATGTTACTGTGGCTTCACAAAAGAGGAGATTGAGGCCAAGACAGGCTAATTCGCTCGAGTCCTGAAACTGGAACTAGAACTCAAGTCTCCAACCCGATTAAACCAGCTGACTTCCACTGTGCCACAGCCCTCTACCTTGTATGGGGCTCTGGATCTCCAGGGAGCTTAATAATGCTGGAGCCAGGTGTGGTGCTCCATGCCTGTAACCTCCGCACTCTGAGGCTGAAGCAGGATCGCTAGTTCAAGGCCAGCCTGGGCTACACAGTGAGTTTGAGGCCAGCATGAACTACTCAGCAAACCTCTGTCTCAAAAAATAAACAAAATTCTGAATATGCCATCAGCATCCAAAGAACGCTTGTCTTGACAACTGATGGGAAAAAAGGAACCCTGAGGCCAAATTTTTTAAAAAGAAAAAAAAAAAAAAACGGAAAAGCGTTAGGACCATAAGGATACAGTCGCCCTAGATGTCTTTTCTTCGGGGCAGTGTTGCACGGGGATGGGTAGCGCATGCCAATAATACCAGCACTCAGGAGGCTGAAGCAGGAGGATCGCTGCGAGTTTGAGGCCAACCTGGGCTGCATAGTGAGTTCAAGGACATCCTTAACTACATAGCAAGGCCCTGCCTCAAAAAAAAAAAAGAAAAAAGAAAAGAAAAGAAATCTGTCTTTTGGGCAATGTTTCCTAAACCCTGAAGGTACTGCTGGAGAATGAGGCTGAAGAAAAAACTACAATTCCCAAAGGCCACAAAGGGCTTTCACTGCACATGCGCATGCTCCTCCCCTTCACTCCGGCTTCCCGGGTCGTTCTTTACGCGCACGCGCCCCGGGGCCGGTCCTCTTCCGACCCCTCTGCTCCGTACCGGAGTTGGTGGCTGGACCTCCTGCTACCTCGCGTAAAGATGCTACCCTTCCCTTTGTTCTGGGCAGCACGGGTAAGAACGGGGTTCCAGATACTGGGTGTCCGGCGGAAAGTCCCCACCCGCTCCGTTAGTTCCATCCACATACATACTCTGGGGTTCTCTTGGCTTTTCTACCCCACGTGCTCTAGGGGCACAGGGCGAGAATCCCGAAGTTAGGAATCCCGGAGACCCCGAGGCTCCCGTGGGGTGAACTGGGGCCCATCGTTCTGACGATCGGGGGCCCCAGGGCCTCGTGACCGCCCATTTCACGTGGCACTGGGGGAGAGGAGCTCATCGGATGCCAGGCAGACACTAGGCTGGCAAACAAGCGGGCTTCCCAGCCCCGACCCGCCCGCCGAGCCTTTCCCCGCTGCATCTTTGCCGTGCAGGTGGTGCGAAAAACTCCAGCGCTTTCATCAGGCAGGGTCCCCGGCAGCGTGGCGGGAAGGACGTGGAATGCGTGAGGGGGAAGGGGACGGGATACTGGGCTTGGCCTCTGCAGACAGCCTCTCCCCGCGAACCCCCACCGGCAGTCCCTCCCCAGAGACGGCTGCAGTTCTCTCCTCCCCCTTGCACCGCTCTGGAAACCAGCTCTGCAGCCCTGGCCTTTAACCTCTCCCAGCTGGGTCTCTCCCTCCAGCTGGAGTAGCGGTTCGTGTGCCCGCGGGAAAGCCCGTGTGCTCCTGGGGGCACGGAGCAGCCGGAGTCTCTGGCTGTCTCCCGAGTGTGGGAGACAGGGGCTTCTGCCATGCAGGTTCTGGTCTGTGGCTTTATAGAGTGGTCCCGGGCAAGGCGGAAGGCGACTCTGGGGTGAGATGAGTGGGGTCTGTGAGAACTCTCCCTTTCTTGGGAGACAGAGGCAGGAGGGTTACAAATGGACCCTGTCTCAAAAGAAAACAAAACAAAATACACTACCCTCTGGACATTGATCTCAGCCTTGGCTCTAGACTGGCTTTTACCCGGAGGTGGTGTTGAAAACTGCAGCAGTCTGGCTGGTTGCCTGGTACAGGCCAGAGAACCCTGCGAATGTGGTGTGTGAGAGGGACGGTCGGAGCGTGTTTTTCTGAACAATTTTTATTTGACCCCGACTTTTCCTGTCCCTAGCCTCTGCAGAGATGTGGTCAGCTGGTCAAGATGGCTACTCGGGCTCAGCACAGCAAGGCAGCCCAGACTCAGACTGGGGAAGCAACTCGGGGCTGGACCGGCCAGGAGAGTCTCTCAGAGAGTGACCCGGAGATGTGGGAGCTGCTGCAGAAGGAGAAGGACAGGCAGTGCCGGGGCCTGGAGCTCATTGCCTCAGAGGTGGGACCCCGGGAGATGGCAGAGGGTGGGCCATAGGGTAGGTACAGGAAGTAACAGGTTATGTTCTTGCTACTTCTCCAGATCTCCCTGTCTTCCTCGGGGCCTTTCTGCTGGGCCTTATCATCTTCTCCTTCCCATCCTCTGAAGCAGAGGCAGGGCGGGTCCGGTTCCCGGGGTTGGGGCATTAGAGAGCTTCCGGAGCCTTCTAGCGTCCCTACAATTTCATCTGCCCCCCTCCCTACCTCCCGCGAGGAAAGAGCCTGGAGATACAAGTCTGAGCGGACAGGTGGGGGACACCCATCACAGCTGCTGAGTTGCCAAGGAAGCTGCTTCTGGCTCTGCCCGTACCTGGCAAGGAACCCAGAGTGAACGGAGCTTCTTGCGCAGCCGGGCTCCCCGCTGCGGCCTTGGGCTCCGGCAGGGCGGGGCTGTGGGGACTCAGGCAAAGGGGCTCAAGACCTTCTGACATTGCCCCCCCACCACCCCAGAACTTCTGCAGCCGAGCTGCGCTGGAGGCCCTGGGGTCCTGTCTGAACAACAAGTACTCGGAGGGTTATCCTGGCAAGAGGTGAGGGCCAGGCACCAGAGGAGGGCTGGAGGGCAGCGTCAGGGATGGCACTCCCGGTGGCGGGACCTTCCTGTACCCTCCAGGTGCTTATGGAGCAGTGACCTCCCAGTCCTTTGCTGCTGGTCGAGGCTCCTTTCTCTGTGGCCTTACGCGCCCCTCCCGCGGCAGATACTACGGGGGAGCAGAGGTGGTGGATGAAATCGAGCTGCTGTGCCAGCGCCGCGCCTTGGAAGCCTTCGACCTGGATCCTGCACAGTGGGGAGTCAATGTCCAGCCCTATTCGGGGTCCCCAGCCAACCTGGCCGCCTACACAGCCCTTCTGCAGCCTCATGACCGAATCATGGGGCTGGACCTGCCCGATGGGGGCCAGTGAGTACAGTTACGATGGGTGCGGTGGGCAGTGCCGATGTCGGGGAAGTTATTCTTTGAATACCTGCTGTGTCCCATACGGATGGGACACACCTCTCCCGTCCTGCATGGTCACAGGAATCGGGAAGGCAAGAGCCCCTGTCCCATCAGTGTCCACAGAGAGGACAGAGCAAGGGGAGGGGCTAGGACAGTGTTTGGGGGCGGGGCCTTGGAGTGGGCGGGGCATGGTTGTCTGGGGCTGCCCCACTCAGGCCTGGCTACCTCTCGCTTCCCAGTCTCACCCATGGCTACATGTCTGACGTCAAGCGGATCTCTGCCACATCCATCTTCTTCGAGTCTATGCCCTACAAGCTCAACGTGAGTGCTCCTGGGTGTGGGAGGTAGCTAGCTGCTCGGGCCCTGGTGTTTCTTTCCTGGGCACCGGGAGGCTCTGACCCCTCCCCTCCGGGCAGCCCTTGCAGCCAAGGAGGATGTGAATGCCCTGCTGCTGCGTCAGGGCTTTAGCTGTTTCTCTGTCTATCCAGCCCCAAACTGGCCTCATTGACTATGACCAGCTGGCACTGACAGCACGGCTTTTCCGACCGCGGCTCATTATAGCTGGTACCAGTGCTTATGCTCGCCTCATTGACTATGCCCGCATGAGAGAGGTTGGTAGGGGGCTGGCACACTGGGCACTGCCCTGGGGGGTGGAGGGTGCGGGAGAGGCAGCCTCCATGTGCCTGTCTAGGCCTTGCCCGAGCTGAGGCCTGTCTGTCTCCCTGTCCAGGTGTGTGATGAGGTCAAGGCACACCTGCTGGCAGACATGGCCCACATCAGTGGCTTGGTGGCCGCCAAGGTGATCCCCTCACCTTTCAAATATGCAGACATCGTCACCACTACCACTCACAAGACTCTTCGCGGGGCCAGGTCAGGTTCCCCTGGGGTGGGGCCTTGCTTGTCCCAGGCGGGTCTGAGAGAGTGCATTCCCACCTGCAGTCCCAAAGACTTCTACCCAGTCTGACCATTCAGCTCTTTCTCACCTGTGACGGCCATTCCTGGGCAGGGGACTGAGCAATGGGGCTGGGGGTGGGGGGCGATCCTTTTTACTGTTGGAATCCAAGGCATAGGCACCTTGTGGAGAAGTCAGGGCCCTTGAGGACCCAAGCCAGCCAGCTTTCTCCGCTGTCTCCATTCTGTGTTGTTTAATTTTGACCTGCGTTCTGACCACCCACCTTCCACACAGGTCAGGGCTCATCTTCTACCGGAAGGGGGTACGGACTGTGGACCCCAAGACTGGCCGGGAGATCCCTTACACATTCGAGGACCGAATCAACTTTGCCGTGTTCCCGTCCCTGCAGGGGGGCCCGCACAACCATGCCATTGCCGCCGTAGCTGTGGCTCTCAAGCAGGTGGGGGAGCCTGCCCTTCCGGGCTGGGGGGGGGGCAGCGGGCTGGAAGCTTGGCTCCTACACCTTGCTGGCTGGCGCGGAGACGGATGGGAAGGCTGTGCCCGTGTGGGAGGCATCAAGGCGGGGGCCCAGAGCTGCCCTTGCTGGGTGTGGAGGGACAGGAGGGGCAGGCGGGGGCCTAGGGTCACCGGTGCTGCTGTCTCCCCCCCAGGCCTCTACCCCCATGTTCCGGGAGTACTCCCTGCAGGTTTTGAAGAATGCTCGGGCCATGGCTGACGCGCTCCTAGATCGAGGCTACTCACTGGTGTCCGGTGAGCCAGCGGGAGGGTGAGGGCTCTTGTAGGCTTCCGGCAGAGGCCGCAGAGTCACCACTTCCTGATTACAAACCACCCACCCCTTAGGTGGCACTGACAACCACCTGGTGCTCGTAGACCTGCGGCCCAAGGGCTTGGATGGAGCTCGGGCCGAGCGAGTCCTGGAGCTTGTGTCCATCACTGCCAACAAGAACACCTGTCCTGGAGACCGAAGTGCCATCACCCCTGGGGGCCTGCGGCTTGGTGAGACCGGGGCCCGGGGGCGGAGGCGCTCCTATCCCGTGGCTGCCCGCTGGGCTTGGCTGGGCTAATCCTGACTGCTGTGGCTCCTCCAGGGGCCCCAGCCTTGACCTCTCGACAGTTCCGTGAGGACGACTTCCGGAGAGTCGTGGACTTCATTGACGAGGGGGTCAACATTGGGTTGGAGGTGAAGAGCAAGACCGGTGAGTGGGCGGAAGAGAGCCCCACAGCCGGCCCGCGGGCACCGCCGCCTGCGTCCCCTCCTGGTCCCGCCGCCGCCGTGCCTGCATCTCTGACCATGCTTTTGTCTTCAACCCACTCTAGCCAAGCTCCAGGATTTCAAATCCTTCCTGCTCAAGGATCCGGAAACCATCCAGCGGCTGACCCACCTCAGGCAGCGGGTGGAGCAGTTTGCCAGGGCCTTCCCTATGCCTGGCTTTGATGAACGCTGACGGCCCCTGGGAGTTGAGGCCTCCGGACTGTCCTTCACCCCGCTGGTCTACTGGGAGGGAGTACCACTTACCTATTTTTTGGTGATGGAAAGCGTCCCCAGCCAGGCCATTTAGGGCAAGAGCCAAGTACAGTCTCTCTTCCCGGATATTATAGCTTGCTTTTTTGTAATCAGAAGGAACCTGCCACCCCCTCCGCCCCCACCCAGCTTTCTGCCTTCTCTGCCATTATCTCAGTGTTACTTTGGCTCCTTCTTCCGGAGGGGGTCACCCTGCCGAGCCAGAGAAAGGGGTGGGCAGGCACCCTCCTTCCTGTTTTTATCTAATAAAATGCTAACCTGCCCTGGGTTTCTATTATGTGGGAGGGGTCCCCAGGGCCAGCCAGCGATTCCTGATTTGACTCCCTCAACATTTATGCCTCCCTCTCCTCCCACCACCACCACAAGGACCCCCGGGGCTGCAGCCTCCTCTGTCTCTGATCAGAGCCGACACCAGACGTGATTAGCAGGCGCAGCAAATTCAATTTGTTAAATGAAATTGTATTTTGCCCACGGCTGCTTCTGTTTGATCCCGGGGGACCAAGGGGAGCAGGGGAGGGGAGGGGTGGGGAGGGGCGGGGGAGGCCCAGGTGCTGTGTGCTGTGGGTGGGGGAGGCAGCAGGCTTAGGCAGAGGAGGAGCTGCTGCTTGGCACGGGCGCCCATCCTGGGCAGGCTGGGCAGCCAGAGACAGTCTAGTCGAGCCTGAACAGCACTGCCCCAGGCCCGGCACTTTCCGAGCTCAGGCAGATGTGGGGCTGGCCACGTCCTCGGCACTCAGAGGCCACGCTCCACACGTACCCTGTGCCACACCCTGCAAGCGAGGGAACTGAGCAGAGGTTTGGGCCTTTGGGGCTGAGGACCCAGCAGCTGCCGCCTGGCCCGACTTCCCTCCCCCCCAGGGGACTGAAGCCAAGGGTCAGAGTTGCTTCCGCTGGGATCAAGGGAGGAGGGTAGGGGAGGAGCTGCCCACCCCTCTTCATGGGAACCCGGCCTGGGTAAGCAAGAGCAGGACAAGGTGGCTAGAGTGACGCCCTGCGGTCTGGGAGCAGGCAGTGGAAGAAGTGACGTTGGTTAACATCGAATTAGCAGCCCAGCCTGGTTTAGAAGTCTGGCCGGTCCTTCTTCAGCTTCTTATAGTCGGTGGAAACTGCAAAGAACTAGGGGGAGAGGGAAAGAAAGCTTGCAAACCCGCTTTACTCCCTGTAGGGGAGCAGTAGGCCTGGAGGCCAGGGTTAGTGGAAGGGGAAGCAACCCAGCACCGCTGGGCCGTACCTTATACTGGTCATTGGGGCTCAAGCGATTCCAGGGTTCTGGGTTGTTCTTCCGGTCCCAGCTGTGGAGGAGAAGGGAGGGTTAGTGTCTCCTATCTGGAGGCGGGGACTCCAGCTGAAGGTGCTCCTCTGAGTCCCAGGCAGGCTGCTGTCCCTGGCCTAGCACCTCCACCCTGACTGTCTCCTACTCTGGGGAGGTCCCGTTTCCTAGAGGCGGACGGAGAGGGCGCATGTTAGCCATGCTGACAAGTGAGACAGGCTCGTCACTACTGTCAGTGTGGCGCTTGGTGACAGGATGACAATCCAGCCTAGGAACTGCCTCCCTCTCGCTGCCACCCTAGGTCAACCCCACAAAGCAGAGCCCAGGGAATTCAGCAGAGATCCCAGTGGGTAGGAATCTCAGTAACTCCCAGCGAGGTAGTGGGTGGGAGCTCTTTTTGCAAAGGATCCTCGTCCCTATGTCCCCCCCTCCACCATGCCGCCTCCAGCTGAACGGAAAGTTTCAGGTGTTACCTGGGGGCCCCAATAACACCCCCTCATAGTTTACCAGCCACACCCCCAGTCCTCCTGCCTGGAGAAGAGCTACCCAAAAGCCTGAAGCAGCAGGCAGAGCGGTGTTGCCATGGCAACCAGGGTAGGCGCTGTGTGGGTTCCAAGGCCCGGAACCCAGGAAGTCACCAGCCGCCAGAACACAGAGTGGCCAGTTTGGCCCAAGGGGAAAAGTGTGTGTGGGGGTCTCCCTGGTAGGAGTCAGACCCAGCCCTGAGATGTCAGGTGGTGCTATGGGAGGTACACAGTCTGGGGACCCCGCTAGGACCACCCGTTCCCACCATTCCTGGGGTCCATCGCTTCCCTCTTCACTTGGCCCCACACGACACCCGCTTCACTCCAAGCCCAGCCTTTACCAGACGTCGGGGCTGCGCAGGGCAAGCCGCAGCAGGTACAGCGCAGCACTGCCCATGCCCAGGCCGATGAAGCCGATCATTGGAATGAGCTGTAGGGGAAGTCGGAGGGCATTTTCAGGGCCAGCCCCTTCTGCCCAGTCCCCACTCGCTCTTTGCCAGCTTCCTGCCCCGCTTTTCACCCAAGGTCTAGTTCTCCCTCCTTCAGGAAAAGGGAACCTGGAGCCTCCCACAACCGCATTCCTGGTCTCCCTTATCCCACAGCAATCCTAGCATCCAGGGAGATGGGACGCATTGCAGGAATAGCTTGAAGGGTCCCTGAGGACACTGGGAGCCTTGGGGAAACTGGACCGGGGCCAGGGCTCTAGGGGACCTGGGGACTTGGGGACGGGGCAGCAGAAAGTTAGTTGGAATCTCCGCCGCTCTAGGACTGAACTCACCCCAGGATGTTTTTTGATCTGCCGATAGAAGCGGGCCCCTAGGCTGGCTCCTGCCATCGCTCCTTCCCGCTGCCTGGTCCTCTCGCAGCCTCTGCTCCAGTCCTCCTCCTGGGACCCCGCCCCCCGCTGGGGAGGGGTCAGCCGAGCCCAGCCTGGCCCAGCCCGCCTCTGCAGACTCACCCCACCCCACTCAGTTTGCTGCCTTGGCAATTCCAGGCCCGAAGCAAAGAAGCTGTTGGGGGAAGCCTGAGATTTCTGCTCCCCAACTCTGTCCTCCAGACGCCTGCACCCTGGCCCGTGCGACTTCATCCTATTCGAGGGTTTGGGTGTCTGAAGAAGGGGATTCAGGGGTCCAAAGACGGATTGAAGGGGAATCCAGATCGGGACAGGCAAGCAGATAGAGCTCTAGAAAACGCGATTGTGTGTGTGGAGCGTTCACGGGGTATCCAGGGGCAGGGAGGGCAACGGCAGCCTCCTGCTGACACCCTGACAGCCACCCAGGAGCTACAAGGTCCTGAGGGCCCTGGCTCTTTGAGTCCACCGCGCAGTGGGAGGAAGGGACAGATGATTTCACTGAAGATGCCCAGCGCCCGCGAGCCCGGGTGGTTTCTCCAGACTGTGGTCGGCCTGGAGGAAAAGTGACGGGGGGCTGGAGAAACCAGATGCATCTGACCAGGACGCAGGATCGAGACAGGAGTTGCGGGCGTTCGGAGGCTTAGGAGGCTTGACTATGCCTGCCTGCTTGGAGTAGGAGTGCAGCGGGGTCCCCCTTGGAGGCCACTCTGCACCTCTAGCTGTGGAACCAGGGCAGAGAACCGAGCGAAGAAACAGTCAAACAAAGATAGAAAAGACGCTGAAGTAGGAAGGAGAACACGCAGAGACAGAACTGCGGAGCTATTGCCTGGTTCAGGTGTATGCTGGGCTGCTAGGGTGGGAAGGCTCCTCGCCGCCCTCCTCTTTGGGGAATTGGGGTCTTGGAGACGCAGGAGCCCAGGCTTGTCCCCTCTTCCACGCTAATCGCCATCACCCCTCCTGCCTCTGCCCTGGGTCCCCCAGAGCCCAGCCTATGGCGGCGCCGGCGGGGGTGAGCTATGCACCCGCTGCAGGGCCCCTGGGGCGCAGGGAGGGAGAAGGCCACTGCTGGGGGCCCCCTCCTTTTCTCGCACAGTTACCTCCCCCGCCCTCTGCGCTGACAAGCCGGCTGTAATTAGGCTGCGGGGTCCCCGGCTCTCCGCCTCCCTCCGGCGGATAATGAGATAAAGTGTCAGAGACACGGCGAGAACAAAGAGACAGAGACTCGCGGCGCTGTGCGTGTGGGGAGGTGGAGGAGGGGGGCTGACGGGATGTCAGAGCTTCAAGCAGCACGCGGGCCTGCCTGAGCGCCTGCACCTCCAGGGCCGGGCGGCGAGGGGGCGTCCTGTCGCCGTGCCCCCAGCCTTCACGTCTCTGGAACTGAAATCAATCCCGGAGCTGGGAGCGTGAGCGGGCGCCCAGCTGGGCTGCACATCTGGCGCTAGCGGCACAGCTGCGGAGCCAGGGCCCGGAGGGAAGCCCGGCCCTCGAGCCGAGCCGCTCTGCTCTGGGCGCTCGCTCCCTCCCTCCGCCCCGCCTCTGGTTCTGTGAACCGCGCCTGGCGCCCCCAGATCTTCCGCGGTGCTTCTTTCCCACGGCTACGTACTCCTCTTCCTCCCGGCTGGGGCGCGAGGCCTGCCCCCTGAGCTTCGGCGTTACGTTATTCTGATCCATCCTCTCCGCGAGGCCTTGACCCTTAGCAGCTTCTTTTTATTTTTATTTATTTATTTATTTTTGTCTCTTTGAGACAGGGTCTCGTTATGCAGTTCAGGCTGGTCTCGAACTTGCAACGATCCTCCTGCCTCAGCCTCCCGAGTGCTGGGATTACAGGCGTGCGCCACCACGCCCGGCTGTTTTTATTATTTATTTATTTATTTTATTTTGTCTAACCCCTTAGCAGCTTCTGGGCCAAGTCTTCGCCGCTCTGCTTCCCAGGTCTCTTCCCTTTTTGGTTCCCACCCTTGGAGCTTGGGCTCTGGGGCCCAGCTGGAACACAGAACTCCCTGGGTTCCGGATCCCATTTCTCCCTTCTCTGGACTTTCCTCCCACACTGATTAAGGGATGGCCGGAGTCACGAGCCGCGGCGTCCCGCCAGGACCGCACTGTGAGCTCTAAACCGCACCGGGAGTACTCCTGCTGGACGTGGCCACGCAGCCAAACGCAGCCGGACGCGCCGACGCAAAAGGTGGCCGCCAGGGACGTGGGCGCGGGCGCCCCCTGGAGGCCGAGCTGCTCCTAAACTCGGGAAGGGGCCTTGGGCTCCCCCTGTCGGGGAGCGTCGGCCCTGCACGCCCAGCATTGTGCCAGGTAAGTCCGCGCCTGGTGTGTAGGTCCCGCCCGCCCGGTGACTCCGGCTACTCCGGCCACGGGGCAATGGTCCCTCGGCCTCCACCCTTCTGGTGTGAGGTGGGGCCGGAAGGTGAAGAGGCGACGCGGAAGGTTCCGCCTTGCCGGCTGTGGGCATCCCCTCCGCTGAGGCTGTGGGTCCGGCCGGCCTCCGCCCGCTGCCCCGGCCTGCCCTAGCCTCGGGGTGCCGCTCTCGCGCCCCTTCTTCGGGCTCTGTCTCGTTAGGTGTGTCTGTGTCGTGTTCCGGCTGCATCGTCTCCCGTCTGCTGTCTCTGCCTTGCTTCGTCCAGCGTCTGTCTGTCTCTCCGGCTCCCTGTCTGTCTTTGGAAACTCCCTCCTCTGTCTCCCCCTACCGCTCACCCCTCATTCTCCAGCTCGATGCCTGTTCCCGGGGCTGCCCCGGGGGGCTGCGCCTGTCCAGCTGCACAGCCCGGGGACGCCACTGCTCCGGGTCCTGCTCCCGGTCACCCCCGCACTCCGTCACCTCAGCACGGCCTCCGTCTTCCCGCCGCCGCAGCTGTGGGGTGCGGAGGGGGTGCCTGGGGGGGAGCCACGGCGCCCAGCACCTGCTCAGGAGCCCCGGGCCTCTGACCCCTCCGCCACTGTTAAGGGCGCCGTCCCGAGGCTCTGAGATGACCCTGATTGCATCAGCCAGACTGAGGGGAGCTGGGAGCCTCGCAGCGAGCGAGCGAGCGAGCGAGACAAAGGCGCCCGCGCCATCTGTTTATGCAGAGTGCTCTCCGCCAGGGACCCCGGGGTCCCGGTGCCTGGCCCAGCTCGGGGCGCAGGGTCATGCGTCCGCTCCCGCCTGGCACCCCAGCTGAGCCTGGCTTCCCCCTCCCCAGCACCCAGAGGGGCCATGGGGCGAGGGGGACGGGCGGGAGTAGGGGTGTTGATGTGATTGGAGCGGACGCGGCTGTTTCTTCAATAATGGATGGAGATGATGCGGACGGCGGAGCCGAGCCGGCCAGGAGAGGAGAGAGGAATAGAAATAGGGAGAGGAGGGGAGGGCGGCGGGAGACTCACCCAGACGCTCCCGCCGGAGCGCGCGGGCGCGCGCGCACACACACACACACATACACACACACACACACACACACGTGCGTCACGCTGTCATTCGGGTACACGCCGCTGTGCGGCTCACACCCAGGCACACACCCACGCACTGTCACCGAGACACACACACCTGCAGGCAGAGACGCCAGAGCCGCACACACTCACCAGTAGCTCCTCGGGATTTTCACACATACAGTCCTGAGGCAGACACTTGGAGACGCCGAACCGGGGCACACCCGGGCATGACCGGCGCACGGGCACGCAGACACGCCAAAGCCGTGTGAACACCCAGACGCCTAGACCCCCAGGAGCTCCGACAGAAATCACAGAGATGAGTGTGGGTGGCAAGGGGAAGAACCCCAACAATGCCGACAGGTTCAGGGGCACACATACATAGTAAGGGCAAAGACACAGACACACACCCGGGGCTCAGACACATCCGCACTCCCAGAGCGCAGCCCACCACACACCAGGGGTACAGATCCCCAACAGCCACACCCGTTTCGCCTCCCGCCCACTCATGCAGGGTCTGCCATCTGCCCCCTCCAGGGTGCAGTGTGGCAAAGCGGTCACCAGGGCTCCCGCGTAGGCCTTGTTAGCCTGGCAGTGTGACGGGTGGTGGTGACAGGAGGCGCCTGGGGCTGTGGACTCACAGGCCTGTGGTCTCCCTTGATTGCCTGCAGGCTCCCTGCCCTGATCCTCGGGGCAGGTGGTGTAGACCTTGGGCTGCTGGAGCAGCGATTCCGGGGCTGCTGGGGCTCCAGCTTGAACCGTCTGGGGGAGAGGGAGCCGAGGGGGTGGCACTGCGGTGGCATTGCCGCTGAGAAATTCCCAGGATCCTCAACTGGCTTGCTCCATACCCCACCTCATTTCCCATACTGCTCAATCTTCTGACCTCCAGAAGCTTTTTTTTTTTTTTTACAGTCTCCCAGTGTGGCCCAGGCTGGCCTCAAACTCTCCCTCCTCCTGCCTCAGCCTCCCCAGAGGAGGCAGGGGAGGTGTTGGGATTACAGGCATGGGCCACCACACCCATCCATTTTTTTCTAAAGAGTGGAATGGACTGTGGAGAGGGGTGGGGTGCAAGTTGAGTCCCGGACCCCGGTGCCCCGGCCTTTTCTCTGGTCCGTTTGCAATTCCGCGTGCTCCTTGGCCCAGACTTGTGACCTTTGTGGAGTGCAGCTGCACCATCCATCACCCCGGCGGCTGCTGGTGGGAGTGGGAGGCAGTGGGGACTCATAAGGTCGCTGTCGTGCCTGCGGCCGTCTCTTGGGACTTGCTTCCCGGTCCCAGGGCCAGGGCTCCACCGGCTTGAAGAGTTCTGCGGGGAAGGGCGTGACGATGGGGCTCCGGCATGACACTGTGCCCTGCGCCCCACCGCGGGAGCCCCAGCACCCCTCCTTTGAGCTCAGCACAGCCTGTCTCCCCGTCCCTCCCGCCCCTCTTCTCTCGGGCCTTTTGCTTAATTTCCTATTAACTGCTGATAAATCCAATTAAACCGCCGCTCTAATTAGGGACAGCTGCCGGCTGGGTGAGGCGAGGGAGGGGGCGCCCCCGAGTGTGAGGGAAGAACAGCCGCTCTCCTGCTCCTCGACACCCCCACCCCAGCGTCGCCGCCCAATGAGCCAGTAAATTGGTTTTGTTTCAGCACTGTGTGGGGGGGGGCTCCAAGATCTTGGGGAGGGGCCTCCAGTTTCGAGTTCTTCAGATCACTTGATGAATGGGAGCAATCCGAGCCCTCAGCTGTCCTCATGGTAGGTGGATCCAGAGGAAAACATGGGGGCAAATGTTGACTTGCGGGACCGGGGTGTGTGCACGTGCCTGTGACCCTGGTTAAAGGGGAGCTGCCGACTCCTCCTGTGCGGCCCCGCGACGCCCCCGGGCCTTCGGGACAGCCAAGGGCAAAGCGAACGGGAACGGAGCCGGCTCTGCGGCGAGTATTCCCGTGCGCTTCCCTGCCCCCCTTCACACCTCAGCCTTCCGTGAGGAAGGGGGGGAGCGCGCCTGTCCCGGGCCCTCCTCTTCCCCAGCCCAGCTGAGCCTCTGCCCTCCCCCTCCAGCAGCAGATGGTGCCCGGGCTCCTGCTGCCAACCTTGCTAGGCGGTGCCAACCTCAGTCCTGGCAGACAACGGGGAGGCAGGAAGAGGAGCTCCTGGCTGGCCAGGCTGACCCTCCCCCACCCGTCATCAAACTCAAGACCCTCTGCCTGCCCGACTCCAGCGCCACCCCGGGCTGTCTCTCACTGGTCTGCTCCCAGGTCCCCAAACTCCTCGTCTCCTGCTCCCTTCCCCATACCTTCCCGCTCCTCGCCACCTGCCGCCCTGACCAGGGCCGGCGTATTTGCATATTTGCATATGCAAATAACATTTGCATACGGCGCGCCGCAGGGGGGGGTCTCCGCCAAAGCCGGCTAGCTGTCTGCCCCGCGTCCTCTCACTCGGTACCTGTCGGAAAGGGCTGGGGCCGGGCCGTGCGGGAGGGGCTCACCCCCGCCCCCGGCCTCGCTAGCTCTGTTCCCCGAGGGCTTGAGGAAATGTTGCCATGGAGACGGCACGCACCCCACCCCCTTCCCAGGCCTAGGGTCTCGGGCTCGGTGTCTCCAGTTCTCTCCCCTTATCCATCCCCGCCCGCCCCTGCCCATTCCTCGATCTCCAACTGAGATCTTGCACCGCCCCCTGGCGGCCCAGCTCGGCGCTGAGCCAAGTTCCGAACCGAAAGGGCCGGGCCACCGCTAAAGAGCCAGGAGCCGGCGGGATGCACCGGGTTCCGAGATCCCGCTCCCAGGCGCGGGGCAGGAGGGCGTGGACTCCAGTCCGGTTGTCTTTCTTCTCCGCTGGCAGAGCACTCGCCTGACGGACGCAACCCGGGAGCCAGGAGGGCCTTGGCACCCGAGGTAGTACGGTGGGACAGGGGAAGCATTCTTTACCCGCCCCCCCCCCGCCTTCTCCTGGTCCCCAGCTAAAGAACAAACTTTCAATACTTTTGTCAAAACTTTAATAAATTTGCAACATTCCACAGTTCGTCCCCGAGACACCCTTTGGCGCCTCTTGCTGGAGAAACTCTCTCCAGCTCTTGCAGGCTGGGCTCGGGGGTTCCGGGGCAGGGCTGCTCTGGGCACCAGGTACCCGGGCCCTAGGCCGGGGGCGGGGGGCGGGAACCAGCCCCTTCCCCGCAGCTCCCCCGTGGCGGGCCTTGCCCAGGCAGCAGCCAGTGGCCTGCGCCCCTCTCCCGCCTCCTCCACTGGGCCCGCCCAGCGCGGGGGATGGGTGTCTCCTGCCTGCAGGCGCCGCACGCCTAAATCTCCTCCAGGAAGTCGGTGGGGAACAGCCCCACCTTGCGGCCGGTGGAGACCTTGACGTAGCCGCCAGCCTCGTCTCCTTTCTGCACCACGATCTAGGGCAGCGACGGCGAACCTTTCAGAGACGAGTGCCCAAACAGCAACCCCCAAACCCACCTATTTATCGCGAAGTGCTGACGCTGGGATTAAACCTAAATACTTAGATTTTACTTTAGAAAAAACATGATTCGGCTTTTGCGTCCAAAGAGGATGCTATGTGCCCGCTGCGGCGCACGTGCCATAGGTTCACTACCACTGCCCTGAGGTTACAGGCGCAGGGAGTAGGAGGGGACCCGGGAAAGTTAGAGGCTCGCCCCAGCCTCGTTAATGGGTTAGAATCTCCAAGCAGCATGGCACGGGGCCCGGGCCTCGGTTTGGGCTGGCCACCAGCGCTACCTGGTCCTTCTTGAGAGTGATCTGCCCTATCTCGCGGTTCCCCACGAAGGATCTTGTTACGCGGTGCACGCGTTCTCCAGCCCGGACCCGAATGATGAAGTTTGGTGGGAAAAAGCCGACCTTCTCCCCAATCTTCCCCTAGGGAAGTAGGAGAGTCGACCTCACTCTCGGGTTCTAGACCCAGCCCACAACCGGGCCCCAGCCCCGGCCGTCCCTCTTACCCGCCACCACTCCTCATTGGAGTCATCGATGACCGTGATCTTCTCTCCCGGCCTGGGACAGCAGGGCAGGGGGCTCGGTCACACAACCCCGTATGCTCCCAGCTTGGGGTTCCCCCCTTCCCTTTCCCGCAGGGAGCCCAGCTCGCCCCCTTCACGCCCCCGACTGCCCTCCCCCGGCTCTAAAGGCCTCTCACGGGAAATCCAGGTCGTCCTTCTCCAGGGCTTTGAAGCGGTACAGAGCCACAAAGTAATGAGACTGCTGGAAGCCAGGCTGCTTGTGCTGGGGGAGCGGGCGAGAAGTCTCAGCACTCCTCCGCCCGCGCCAGGGCCCTCCCCGGGCACTGCCGCACCCCCACTCTCTTCTAGGTCCCTGAGCTGAGAGGAGGCCGCTGGGCGCGAGGCAAGGGGAGGGCAGGGCGGGGGGAACTTTGGCTGAGCGGTCACTGGCGTCAGACCTGGGCTGGGGAGAGGACCGGGGCCCTGGCACGGAGGAAGGGTTCTCACTTTGTCATCAGGGGTCTTCTTCTCGGCCTTCTTGTTCCCTTCGGCGTTTCCTGGGATGGGAAGCGGATACACTGACTCTGCTTCTGGGAGGGCAGCCCTCGCGCTCCTGCCCTTGTGTTGGAGGGTCTCCTCTATTCCAGCCCCGCCGTCCTTGTCCGCTCCACCCGCTCTGCCGCAGCTCAGCCCCGAGCCGCCTCATCTCTGAGGATGAAGGTGGGTGACACTCACCGTCTTCGGCTTTCCCTTCCTCCGGCTTGGCTGACTCGGGCTCCTCCTCCATCATGGCAGCTAGAGGCTGGAGGGGCGCTAGTGTTAGGGCGATACTGTCTTGGGAACGCGCTTTTCCTGGCTACCACAGACTCATAGGGTCTCAGGGTAGGAGAGCTGGGGAATATCTAGTCCTAGTGCAGAGACTTCCCCTGCACCATGCTGGCAGGCTGTTCCCTCCATTATGCTTGAATGTAATAATGGCAAGACGTTTACCACTTTACAAAGTAACCTACTGAGGTGGGGATTAGCTCAGTCAGGCTTGACTAGCGTGAGCAAGGCCATATGTTCGATCTCTAGCACTACAAAGAGAAAGCAACCCTACGCGATTTGGAAGTAATCCCTTATATTAAGCTTACGACGGAGCCGGGCATGGTGGCACACACTTGCAATCTCAGCACTCGGGAGGCTGAGGCAGGAGGATTGTTGCAAGTTCAAGACCAGCCTGGTTACAAAGTGAGCTAAAGGCCAGCCTGAACTGCATAGTGAGACCCTGTCTCAAAAATACAAAAAAGCCTATGTCGGCCTAATCTCTAATTAGTGGTTCTGATTGGCCCTCTAGAGCTACAAATGTGTGACAGATATGGCTCTCCTAAATATCTGAGGACAGCCGACATATCCTTTCTGGCTTTTCTTCTCTAATTATTTCCAGTCCTGCCGGACATGGTGGTACATACCTGTAATCCTAGCGCTTGGGAGGCTAAGGCAGGAGGATCACCTCGTTGGAGGGCAGCTTGGACTACATAGTGGGTTCAAGGCTAGCCTGCACTGTACAGTGAGACTGCTTCAAAAAACAAAATCAAACAACCCCCTCCGCCAATTTTTTCAGTCCCTTCAAGTCCCACTCATGATCCACATTCCAGGTCTTTTTTTTAAGTTTTTTTTTTTTTGAGACAGTCTGGCTGTGTAGTCCGGGCTGGTCTTAAACTCACTTTGCAGCCCAGCTTCCTGAATGCTGGGATTACAGGCATGTACCACGCCAGGCTTCCAGGTCTTTATGCTGTCAGCCCTTAAAAATACTTCAATGTCTAAGAGAAAAATGGGCAACACCATTTTTATAATTCCCTTAAGAGAACAGAGCCTGAATGTGCTGGCCTTTCTGGAAGCAGCCACGTCACACTGTTAGTGCCTTGTAGGACACCGTTCATGCCACAGAAATCCTGTGATACTTTTTTTTTTGTACCGGGAATCGAACTCAGGACCTTGCACTTGCCAGGCAGGTGTTTGTGCTGCTGAGCTGTATCCATGGCCCCTACTCAACTTCTTATCAACTGCTTTGAGGCCAGATCTCTAGCTGTTTTTGTGTAGTGGACTTTTTTTTTTGGATGGTGGTATTACTGATGAGTGAACCCAAGGCCTTGTAAATGTTAGACAAGTATTCCACCAGTGAGTATCACCCCTAGCCATTTTAAATTTTTACTTTATTCATTTATTTTTTGAAATAGGGTTTCACTATGCAGTTTAGGCTGGCTCTGAACTCACTACGTAGCACAGCCTGGCCTCGAACTCATGGCAATCCTCCTGCCTCAGCCTGCCAAGCACTGGGATTACGAGCATGCACTACCAAACCTGGCTTAAATTTTATTTTTAAGCTTTTTATTTTTATTTTATTTTTTATATTTTATTTTGAGATAAGAGTCTTGGTAGGTTGTCCAGCATGGGCTCAGCCTCCTGCTTCAGCCTCCCGAGTAGTTGAGACTACAAATGTGTACCAACACACCTAGTGATTTTAAACCAAGAATTGGTAAGGACATTTTTCTTTATGAAATTTCAAATTATTGGTTTGGGCTCTTTTTTTCTAGTTTGCTAAGATTTTAAAATAGTCAGTGTGTAAGTTTTCCCTCCTAGGTTAGGGGAATGGGGCAAAAAAAAAAACAAACCCAAAAAAGTTATGTCACCAACAGGTACAAAGTCTCTATGATGAATGTGATCATTATGTATTATCTTTTTCTTTTTTTTTGGTACTAGGAATAAATTCAGAACCTTGCACTTGCTAGGCAGAAGCTGTGCCACTGAGCTATAGCTCTGGTCCTTCATTATGTATATCTAAAATGTACCAATAAAATCTAATTTAAAAAAAAAGTTTTCCCTCCTAGCCTTCCCAGGGGTGGTAGCACCTCAGCTTGTACATGCAACTTGGTAGAACAGAAGGCAGCAGTTCAGGGATGACCCTCCTTGGAACAATGATTCCAAGCCTGCCCCAGCTCTTAAGAAACTTGCCCAGGTTGTCTTCCAACACATCTAATACTTTGCAGAGGAGTTCTAGTAAATATCACAATGGTGCTTTTAAAGCCCAAATTGAAACCAGGACCTTTGCACATTTTTTTTTTTTTTTTGCGGTACTGGGTATCGATCTCAGGACCTTGTGCTTGCCAAGCAGGCGCTTATGCCACTGAGCTATATCCCCAGCCCCGAGGACCTTTGCACTTAGCTACATCCCTAGCTTTTCTTTTTCTTTTTTTTTTTTTTTTGAGATAAGGTTTTACCAAATTTCTAAATTGTCCAGCCTGGGTTTGAACTTGTGATCTTACTGCTTCTTGTCTCCCACAGTGCTGGGATTATACGTGTGAGCCACTATGCCTAGCTCTGAATATACCATCTATATCTTCATTTGTACCAGTGAGAAAAAAGGCCATAGATGAAGACCATGAACCAAATCCTATTATAAGGCATCAGAAATCCTATTATAAGGCTCAGAAATCAGACACTCCTAAAAGACCAAAACTCTTTGGGTACTGCCACTCACTTAATTTTAGGAAATGATTTAACTATAACCATCATCTATGTTAGGCGTTTCATCTGGCTGTCCAGAAAGATATCAATTTCTTGTTGAACTGAACCCAAATATACGGCACTACCAACTAGTAACTCTATTATAAAGGGAAATGAGGTTGCTCTTGGGCAGTGGCTTTATGCCTCCGTTTCCTTATCTATAAAATGCTGTGTCAGATTAGATGATCTTCAAGCGCCTGCCTTCGATTCCTGATACCCCCCCCCAAAAAAAAAAATCGCTTCTCAGCCTTTTGGCTAAGATCAACTGCAGACTAGACAGATGATCTTCATGGACCTAGTGTGGCTCTAGAATTCTTACTACTTGGCATGTCAAATTCTCTCCTCCAGCTGGGCGTGGTGGTACACGCCTATAATCCCAGCACTTGGGAGGCTGAGGCAGGAGGATCGTTGTGAGTTCGAGACCAGCCTAGGCTACACAGTGAATTGAAGGCCAACATGAACTGCATAGCAAGACCCTGTCTCAAAAAGACAAAACAAAAAACCAAAAACCAAACAAACAAAAAACAAATTCTCTCCTCCAAATACAAACCACAACTCTTGCCTCTCTCATGCAGCAAAGCCAAGGGCCTGAGGCCTAGCCTTCAGTGGTGGTTAATCTGACAATTTCAGAAAGGAATTGAGGGCAGTAATTTTTAACCTGAGACCCATGGTGAACTGTAGTAGGTCGAAAGAGCCCTCTAAAGTTGCATGCAAAAATAAGCCTGTTGGATTATGTGCTATTTTCTGAGGAAGAAGATGAAAAGCGTGTGTCAGTTTTCCAAAGGAGAAATAACCTGCCCCATAGAATTCCTGGGCGGGGTCAGTGGGGATGTACAGTGCTCACATTTTTCTTATCTGCCTGTCCCTTCTTCCGCTCCTTGTTTGCCATGATGACCCCAGTACGCAGGGTTTCAAACACAGGGTCATTTCGATTGGCAGCAGCTAGGGGATGGGAGGAGAAACAAGACATTACTTACATCACGGAGAGAAGACTGCAGGAGAGAGACCTCAAGAAGGGAGAGGTGGATCGTGCAGATACTCAGAAGTGTGTGTATGTGGGTGGGGTGGGGGTGAAGAAAGGATTAGGGAAGTGTGCTGGGTAACACCTAGGTTACCAACTTAAAAAGGGCTTTAAAACCCCATTGTGATATTTACCGGAACTCCTAGGCAGACCATTACATGTGCTGGAAGACAACCTTGGCAAGGTTCTTAGGGGCTGGGGACAGACTAGGAATCACTGTTAAAGGAGAATGGTCTCTTAACTGCTGGCCTGTTTTGCTGAGTTGCATGTGCAAGCTGGGCAGCTATCACCAGCAGATTCTTTTCACTCATGTTCCCTCACGAAGTTGGCCTCTCCATGCAAGTGTTGGTTTGAACAAATTGTCAGTGAATATACTTTTAAGGATTGCCAAGTTAGGAATTTGCCCATGATGTCCACAGCCTTGGTCTGCCCCTGAATCTGTCAAGCGTCTGTAACAAGCATGAAGATGATCTAGAATCCTTGTTCTTTTTTTTCCTTTTTTTTTTTTTTTTTGAGACAGGGTCTTACTATGCAGTTCAGGCTGGCCTTGAGCTCACTTTGCAGCCCAGGCTGGCCTCCAATTTGCAACGATCCTCCTGCCTCAGCCTCCCAAGTGCTGGGGATTACAGGCCTGTGCCACCATGCAGGGCTAGAAACCTTGTTCTCGATTAAAAATAGTTTTAAATGTGAAAAACACGTATTTTGAAGCTAGTTGACTAAGGTTTCAGTCTTGGCCCCAGCTAAATCTTATTTCCCTCAGCTATAAAACAGGGCAATACTGATTGCATCCAACATGGCTATATAAATATTAGACTGAGGAAGAACTATGCAAAATAGAAGGCTTCTGTTTCACAGTTTGGCTTCTAAAGCCAGACGTGACGTGGAACCACCTCTGAGGCTTGCCCGCTCCCTCCGGTCCCACCTGGGGCACTTACAGAGATCTTTGACACAAGCGTACTGCTGGTTGCTGTAGAGAGGGGAGCTATAGGCCCGACGGAAACCAGGTGGCTGTAGGATGGGACAGGCAGAAGCATTAGAGGCAGCATGGTAGGGCCTAGCACCCCACTTCATGCATTGTGCTACCCCATTCTGAGTAAGAGATCGGGTGAGAAAGAGCAGGGAAAGGTGGAGGATCACCTGAGGGACGGGCAAGCGGGCAGCTGGCAACACACGGCCCTCCCATCTACTTTTTTGCTCCCAGACTACTCACGATCTTGCCGAAGCACCTCTGCATCTCCACATAGGACTGACAGTGTTCATGGATGTTGGTTTTGCAGTTCTTACAGCGGAGCCCAAATTTGTTATTGACTTAGGAGAGGGAGAATAGCTGGGTAAGGTTCTGACGTGCCCTTGCCCTCTGTACCACTGTGGACACGCTTGTTCTGAGCTGCAAATTCCCGGCACTGTCCGCTCTCAATAGTGAACAGTTATTTCCACAAGCTGAGCCTTGCCCATCCGTCTCCTACAGATACCCCTCTCCTAAACCCGTCTCCCCGGCCCCGCTGCTTCGGCATCACGTCCTCCACTTCCCTTCATGACTCACGCACAATCATCCGGGCACAGACATCACAGAACTTTGGCTTCTTGAAGAAATGATCTTTGAATTTGTGGGGCTTGTCATTGACAAGCTTAGGAGGTTCTGGGGGTGGCTCCTCCTCCTCCTCCTCTTCCTCTTCTTCCTCATAGATATAGTAGATGGGCCCACCCCCGGCTCCTACTGCCTCACCATTGGCCTGGGGCTCTGGGGGAAGTTCCATCTCTTTTGTTTCTGGAGACCCCTTCCTGAATAACTGCTTTAGTCGCTGTAGCTGAGGGAGGGAGGAAGGGAAATCCAGTGTTAGGAGGACTGCCACCCTTCCTAAAGTAGGTGGAGCTAATGCTACCGTATTTCTCTACTTGGAGAAAGCAATATGCCCCAGGATTAGGGGACGAGATGCTGCAGGTGCTGGCTCACACACAGAAAATGAGGCATACACAAGTGGGATCAATTTAAGCACTTCTCTTAGAATCCTTAGTGTCCCCTCACCCTGCACCCTGTGGTCAGAGGCCCAGACTCACCCCACTTTGCGGAGTCTCCACTGGCAGGGAGGGCTTGGAAGACTCCAGCACCTCCTTTTCTGTCATCCTGTAAGGGGTTGGACTCTACTGTGAAATCTAATCCCTGACTGCCATTCTTCCGTCCCTTGCTCCTGTCCCTTGCAGTATGGTGGTCTTTGGGAGGAAGACTATGGGAGAAGTATGGTTAAAGGGAGATCCTTTGGTAGGTAGGGCTTATGAACATTCTACCAACCCATGGCTTCCATGGAGGTCCAGAGGAGAGCCCAAGGGACGGACAAATTTCCCACCCAGTTCTTCAAGCTGATACCCATCCTTCCACCCCCAGGGGCAGCCCCGACAGTGCCCTCCAGGATGCCCAGGTTAGGGATTTTCCTATAGGTGCTCACAGGTAATAAAGACACGACGCAAACCTTCCCACACCCCCTATTCTAGGTTTCTGTGTCCTCGAGAGCATGCATGGAGGGGTAGATGGAGATTTTCCTCTTCTCTCTTTGCGGCCCAGAGGCTTGTGCACAGTCTGTCCCATCCTGCCTTAGGCCTCAGCTATTTTCAGAGTAATATGAGCCTTTCCTTCTCTTACTATTCTGCTCCCTGCTCCCACCCCCACCTCCAACCCGAGCTTATCCAGGAGCAGAAAAACAATTTCACTTCTAAAACCCAAACTACTCACAGACAGGGAGTGCAATGAAGACACTGAAGAGACTATGATTAGGACAGTGGGGGTGCAGTCCTGGAAATGCAGAGAGGACGAAGAAGCAACTTACGTTTGGGGTTCCCTAAATCAGTCCACAGTCTTGTGCAAGGGTGTGAGGCCTTGATGATGGTACTGGGGAGACTGGTCTTCTTGCTTGGGGGCTGAGCCCCCCCAGTACCCTTCGTACTCACACCAGCTACCCAGACGGTATTTGTAGGCCTCTTAGCCTCTCGGCTTGGTGTCGGAGCTGAAATGACAGGGCTGGAGGAAAGCAGACAGCTGAACAGTGCAGCTGACATAGAGAAATTGGACACGGAGAGGTCTAGGGCAGGGCCGGACCCTAACTCCTCCCATACCCCAGAGCTGCTCTTCTTTGACTTGGACTGTCCATCTGCGATGAACACTGGGTAGCAGTCAGGAAGGCGCTGTTCATCTGAGGGGAGTTCAGATATCGCAAAGCAAAGTCAAGATGAATTATAAGATATGCCCTCACCCTTCCCCAAGGCCCACACACTCTTCAGTTCTGTTTCCCTAGGCCTATTTTAAGGTCTAGACTTACCTTCTCAGCCAGATTTCTAGTGGCCCTGTGTTTATAGATCTGTGCTCAAACACTGATCTAGCTTCAAGCCTTTAGGGTAGGAAAGGGCTGAAAATTGCTAAGAGGGTCATTCGAAATTTCTGGGCCCTAGCAGCCACCCAGCATTTTCGTCTGTGGATAGTCAGAGGGGTACGAGCTATCCTGTAAGGAAATGAAGGATTTGTGGCACGGCTTTGTTCCATATACACCCCTCCCAGCTCTACCCTGTTCCTCTAAAATCCCTTCCACAAGACGAAGGGAACTGTTAAGAGCTACTAAAAAGAAAGGCCAGGACTTCCACTGGAGGGGCCCAAAGAGTAAGGCTTTAGCCACCAGGTAGATGGTTTGATTAACTGGGGACAAAAGATCATTGCTTCCTTCTACAAGTTTGTATCACCTATACACAACGTCCTCTTCCCCATAAGAACTGCAAGCTCTCCCCACCCTCTTCATGGTACTGGGCATTGAAGACAAGGGCTTTGCACTGAACTAAATCTCCTCTTTTTTTTATTGAGACAGGTTCTTATTAAGTTGCTGAATTGCCCAGCTGGGCTTGAATCTGTGATTCCCCCTGCCTCAGCCTTCCAGAGTGTTAAGATTGCAGGCATGCGCCACTATAGCCATCAAGAGAGAACTGCAAACCCTTGGAGGCAGGATGGCCAACCCTCAAATTTCCTAACTGTGTTGACTCTCTGATTCCACCTGCCACCTCTGATGTCCCCCCCTATATAAACTGAAAGGCCAAAGAGCTCCCCAGTACTCTCATCTCACACGGATACAGCTTTTTCCACTCTTTGGGTTGTGATGGGGCTGAAGGAGATCTTGGAGAAGAGCAATGCACAGGTGGTAATGCAGTGCTGCTTCCTCCCTTCTAGCAGTGAGAAATAAAGCACTAGCCTGGAGGCTGGGTCAGACAAGCTCTTGAGGGAGCTTGGCTAGGGATACAGCTACCCAGATCCAAGAGTCTCCAGGGTTACAAGCTTTGTCATTTACTTCCACTGCTTGTTTCCCTTTAAGGGATGGTGAGATTGAAAAGAGCTGCTTAAAGGGTCTAAGTCTGGAGCTCTGTAATGGCCCTGCTCTGACACACTGTAGGCAACAAGGATGCCTTAGGCGTCCCCAAAGAGAAGACAGTCTTAGTCTTGCAGGCAGGTGACTTCTGTTCACTTCTCTTCAGCCACAGGACGCCTGGATACTACAGCGTCTTGGCACTGCAATTTCACCTGATACAGCTTTTATTGTAAGAAACATCCATTTCTGTTTCTGCCAAGTGGAGCGCAATCCTCTGGCCTTAGCATTGAAAATCCAAGGTCTCCATCCCTGAAGGACTTTCAGAAGCTTAGATGGACAGGAATGAGGCCGGCACCTCAACCCATTTTCTGGACTTCACTTACCCACCCCCAGCTCAGCCATGAGAGCCCTAAATGAGTGTCAGAATTAACAGGTTGGAAGGAACCTCTGATGTGGTCACAGAGGCCCAGCGATAGTGATGCGCTTAGTGAACTGCTTTGCTGGGAAAGCCCCGAAGTGGGGTCCCCAGAGAATCACTCACCTATTGCACTGTGCACAAGGGAGAGGGTGGGTCAGGAGTCCTGTCAGGAAAACACACGCACACGTTTCGGGGGAACCCATCCCAACCCCGGACAAATCCCCCCAACAATTGTGGGGCTGTACCTACCCAGGGCCTCCAAACCCCACCCACATCGGGGCCGCAACAGAGAAACAGTGACTGAAGTCCAGTGACAGTTTTTTTTTATATTTAAAAACAAAACCAACCTCCCCCCACAAAGCCCCCAAACAAACAAAAAACCAGATTAAATAAAATGTACAGTGAATATACCCAGCAAACATCTGTATGTGCAATTAAATACTGTGTCTGCTACTGCGGCACGAACCTCAAACAAACAATACACAAGTGTTCTGGGAGTTGGGGGTCCCGTTTTAACTGTGGAGTTTGAGGAGGCAAGATCGGGGAAGTGAGAAAATGGGGAAATCAAATTTCTTCTTAATTCGGTCCATATAAATATATTCATAAAGACTAAAAAAGGAAAGGGAGCTCTGCGTGGTGAAATAGAAGAGGGAGTGTGGGACCTTCCCAATTCTACCTGACCAAAAATTATAAAAGAAATTAATTTCATGGGGGAAGAAAAGATAAAAAATGACAGAAGAGAACGGGAAGGAGAGGGAAGCAGAGGGGGCAACCAGGGAGGAACGGGGCACCCGTGGCGGGGAGTGTGGAAGGGGCCTGGTGCCCATTAGTCTGTTTCTTCATCCCTAAGATCTGAGGCTGTGGTTTGGTGTCCACCTCCTCACTTCCCACCGCAGCCCCCACCGCCCTGCCCCGCCCCCCGCCAGCCCCGCCCCCTCTTCTGTTCATTGGGAGCTGGCTCGCTCCAGGATTCTCAGGTCATAGTTCTTTTTGGCCACTCGGAGTTTGAAGCGACTCACGGAGTTGTTGAGGCGAAGGGAGGCGTTCTGGGCAGCCAAGGGGCTGGGGAACACGGCCACGATGGTGTACAAGGCAGCGAGGTCCGAGTGGCGGCCATTCTCGGCAGTCCCACTGTTGTCCCCACCACCCCCGCCAGGCAGCCCCTGAGCATCTTTGAGCCACTGGATCTTGGCGCCGGACATGGCGAGCTGAGTGAAGAGTTTGTCCGCCTCAGTTCGGGTGATGCCCTCAGGGAGATCTGTCACCTCCAGCACCCGCCCCAGGACTGGAAGGGGAGGAGAGAGGACACAGTTGTGAGAGGTCGGTAAGCCCTGGACAGCAGCCTAACAGAGAGGTATCCCACTGACCTCGTATGTACAGAATGTTCTCAAAAGCTGCGCTTTTCCCACTCAGCCCTTCCCTCCCTTCCTCCAATCAACCAGATGCCTTACCATCCAGACTCCGATGAGGACCACTAGGACGGGGAAAAAAATGAACCTTTCTCTTCTTCCATCCCAGAGAGGTGTGCGAGAAGGGACTAGGAATCATCTCTCAGGTTTGTGAGCGGGGGACCTACATCTTAGTTCTCTCTCAAGGGGGTCACTGTGATGGAGGGAATGTGGCTTCTGCTAATGATCTTTAATAAAGTCAGCAGATCAGTCTGAAGCTGGTTCCACTGTTCCCCTCACACGCAGCAGTCAGACCACACAGATTCTCTCTTCTAGTCTGCTTCCCTTCCATTCCTTGTTCAGCAAACTGATCCCGACAGAATTCCAGTAGACCTTGTAGGCCTGGCGTGGAAGGTCTGTAGGACAGTTAACGCCCCAACTTTCTATCACCTCCTACAGGAGGTCTCCCACCGATGTCCTATACTGGGGTGAGGGGGGCTCCCTGAAGACTGCTGGTTAGTAAGTCCTAACAGCTCCTGTTATGGTGCTACTTCCGATTATTACTATGACCTGCCTTGGGGCCTGGAATGGCTTGGTAACAGGAACTAAGATACCTCACTTTCTAGCTTCTGCTTACTCTTGAGCACAAAAGGCTTCCTTTCCTACCACTTTGTCTGTAATTTGGTAAGCCCCCCTATTATTATGTTATCCTTCTTTTACTCTTTAAAATTAAAAAAAAAAAAAGGCTTCCTTATCAGCCCCTTCTCTGAGGTGGCTTTTCCGCCTACCCTGGGCTGGCATGAGGGGCAGGGGCTGAGCACCTTGTCTTGGAGATCTGGTGTCCTGCCACTCACCAACATCTGCTGTTCCCAGGTCCGTGGAGGCAGATTTGAGTGCTTGTCTCTTGCCCCGGTTTCCATGCTTCAATCCGCTTTGTCCCTTCAACATGTGAAAGGCAACTCTCACTCCAAGTAAACACCACTGACTTGGACTGTGTCCCAGTGTCTGCCTGAGGGACTGAATAGCACCCAACCCTGAGGACTCCGCCCCGTCAGGCAGTCAGGCTGGCCAGCGAGGGCCAATGAGAAACGAAGAGTCCTTCTGTCTCGGTACTGGGGTAGGGTGAGAGTAGTGAGTATGGGGTGGGGTAAAGCTCCCCTTGGCTCATCCATCCTGTGGTGGGATGTCCACCCAGGTGGCTGAAGTAGGTGGCTCAGAGAGACAGGCCCAGGTTCCGGGGCGGGGGTGCTTTATGGTCCTAAAGCTGATAGTGGACACTCCTACCTGGTGCACTGTGTATGTCGACTGGCCGTGGAGCAAGGGAGGGCAGATGGACAGGTTGTACTGTAATGGCTGGCCCAAGAGGGAGTAGCGCCCATCACCTAGGGAATAAGAGCAGATGGTTTTCTGGGAGCTTGAGTTTCATGGTATGACTATTAGAAGATCTCAGTTTTTATTTCAGATTTCAGATATTATAAAGATTTGATAGCACACTTTTCTATGATAGGCATGACCATGTGACTGATTTAAGGGTTGTCCCTCTTCCTAAAGCCTTTTGCTTCTGGCTGTACCTTACAGCTAGGGCCGTTAGATTTCCTCACTACTGAAGAAGGGTGCTGCCCATTCTAGACAGAAGGCCCTATAGAAATGACCAGCAAAGAAGCCTACAGACCCTTGTGAATGTCTTCTATCTTTCATATCGTCTCTACTGCCAAACCCAGGGTTCCAGTGATTCACGTGAGAGAAAAAAAACAGTGCAGTAGACCAGAGCACAAAGCTGAACACAGACTGCCTAGGTTAAAAAACTGGCTCTGCTGCTGGAAATGTGGTGTTGGGATGCTCTCCCCTTTTTGGTCTTCTGGAAGGTTAATGAATAAAAGATATGAAGAACACTTATAGCAATACCTGGGATATATTAGCATCATAAGTGTTACCTATTACTGATCAAATATTACAATATTAGAACATTTTAAAGTTTTAAAACCATATTATAATCTTATTTTTATATTGCTTGTGACATCCAAGAAAGCAGATAAGAAGACTCTTCCTATCTTATGCATAGTTAGCCCCACTTTACAGATTAGAGAACTGAGATGAAGTTCCAAGCTTAAGCAACTTGCTTAACA